CCCCAAAACCCCAAAACCCCAAAACCCCTTAAGTAAAAATAACAGCAAATAAAAAATATCAACTTGCTAGAATTCAATCAAATTAACAAATCAATTAATCGATTTATTTTCAATGGATACAGATAGCAACAGTTAATCTTTAACCTCAGTTATCAAGAATAATTCAACTGCTATGGTCTTAACTTAGCTATCACCAGAGTTAGCTGAATCTATGGTTTTATTCTCAAGCAATGACCCACCACCCACCTAGCCAAACACAGAGTTCAATTTGAAAAGTGAAGCGATTGCTGAGGAGAATTCCTAAGAGTGCTTTAGTGATAACAATTAAGGTATGGATGAGGAGGAAGAGGATGAGTCTCAGTACAATAATGAATTCTCAAATATCAATTAAAAAGCCTTAATATAGAAAAAAGCAAAAAAATCTTCAAAGAAAATAGCTAATGTCATGTAGCTAATGAATCAAACAATGAATATCACAGCTCAGAGTAAATTTATCAACGATTCTGAAAAGTTTTTGGCTAGTATGTATAAACAGCTATTCTCTAACAAAAAGAGAAAGAAAAGTAAAAGGAATAAACAAGGAACTAATGGCTAGCAATAGCATTTATTAAATGATCCAAGTTTTGAGATTAGAAACATCAATGCTAATGTAGGTGGGACTGAGCTTAAAACAAATCTATTATCATTCTAAGCTGATTACACGGATAGTGCTAATACTAATACATAAAATAATCATTAGCATTCAAATCTACCAATGCATATCTTGCAGCAGAGCAAGCCTCTAGATGAGGTGTAGGAGTATATCATAGATGAAAGTACAGATCAATTTTCCAGTATATAACTACAAAACACAGCAACCACTAATAGGCAGCTAAATGATTATGCACTTTCCTAAAGAATGCCAAATGAAACAATGAATAATACTTATGAAAAGTAAAAAAAGAAAAAATCTAAGCAAAGGAAAAATAAGCATAAAAAGAAAAAATTTCTGAATGAGATTAATTAGAACAATAGTCTAAGTCTTAAGAGACCAGACATCTAGGACTATGCATCAGCGGGAGCTAATGATAGATTCTTGATACAGGATAAGTACATAGCAAATTAATTGAAAACTGTGACTAATAGATTCATTGATGATTCTTAGAATTAGATAAACTCAACATTTGACTCATATCTAGAAAAAGAGTCAGACTAGTTATTCAAAGAACTGACCTTTTAAAGTACCTAGAATAGCTTTTTTAACCGAAGGAATAACTAATAAGATAGACCATAAACCCTATTAGATATGAAGCAGCACCAAATCAATAAAAATGATTATATCAATTATCAAATCAATGCTGGTGAGATTAATCAACTTGAGCAGATAATTCAGAATAAGCGAATTAAAACAGCTGAGAAGACTTCAAAAGGATTTAAAAGGAATAGACTAGAGGCATTATTTGCAAGTAAGAATACCAGTAAAAAGGGTTTGAATAACACTGCTTATATGTCTGCAAATCCACATCTAGCTGATGACAACAGTCTTGGTAGCGATGGAGTCTAGCTGTTTAAATAGGTGTCTCTCCCAGTGCCTCAAAGCAGAAACTAAAGCAACATTGGAGTTGATAGGGAAGGTGTAGCAGGTATTGTGAACAATCTTTAATTTTCCGATATCAAGTCAATTGACACCACTACTAATAATACTTAAAAGAAATCGACCAATCGGATGCTCCCAATGGCTGATTGGAATAATAGACTCTAGCATCTGCTATTGAAGTCAACCCCAAAGAAGAATTGTTTCGGTTGCATTCCTCCAGAGGAAAAGGCAGAGCATTAGTTTCACAGCTTCAGCAATATGACCTAATATAATACACATCATCATCATCAACCGACAACCGCTTTCAGTAACTAAGATAGATCTAACAGCAATTTAAGACAATAGTAGTAACATCAGAGACAGTAAATACCAATGACTTCAAACAATAAGGTAAGAGCTATCAAGACTCTTAGAGAAGATAACAGTACCACTAATACTATCAAGAACACTTATAATCAGATTGGTGTCTCTTTTAATACCTCAAATCTAGATGTGAGCATCAACGATAGCAGCTACAATATGAATAACTAGAACATCCATACATAGAAAAGACGTATACTTAGTAATGATATGGAAAAAGCAGGTAACGCTGTTACAAGGAAATAATTATAGAACAAAGAAGATATTATGAATAATACAATGACTACTTTATTAAACAATGCAAGCTACTTGTAAGGTAGAAATAAATTTGTAAAGTTAAGGCCATAGGGTGGTGGTGGTGGCACAGTAGATATGGAGAAGATAAGCAAGCTTGCAAAGCCAAAATAGAACAGGAATGTAGAAGCTACCTATTAAAGCAATAAGACTACGACAAATACAAGCAATTCTAAGTTTGTTAATAAAAGATAGTATTTTCTCAAAGACAGCATTTCAAAACAAACAGATAGTAATTAAATAAATAATCTGAAGATAGACATACATAATCGCACTACTATCGTCAACAACTAGATATTCAGCAACAATGAAAACTCAAAGAACAGCATAATTAATAAATTCATTTAAGATACTCCTATTGATTTAGAGCCATCAGTTGTCTAGAACTAAGCAGAAAATGGGCAACAGTAACATGGATTAGTCTTAAAGCCACTAGAGAAGTTAAGTCAAAAGAATAAATACTATCAAAGGAGTCAATTGTCAAACCATCATCATGATCACAGCATAGACACTGAGCGTACTGAAATAGAGGGCTACAGATAGTTTAAAATAGAGTAGATGAAGAACTACAAATATCATGAACGGAGGAGATAGTGTTGTCAGCAGGTAGACCACTAGAGATCGGTTGAGAGTCAAGATAGACAGTATAAATCTTTGGAATTAGGTCAGAGATCTCAGAGCAGAAGTTTGAACTCAAGTCAAATGTCCATTCGATCCAACAGAAATCAGTCACCCTTATTACAATAATCTAAGAGAAAATTTGTTAAACTAGTCTAGGGAAAGATTATGGTTGGCAGCAGAGCCATGTCGATTGAAGACTTTCACAAGATGCGCGATGTTTCATAAAGAGAGAGCTAGAATCTATTCCAGTCAATCACTACTAAAGCCAATGCTGGCATTAACATTCAAGAGGAGGAGTACGATAGGTTCAGATAGAGTTCACCTAATCAAAAGAATCATTAGGAAAGTGAATCCTTGCTAGTCAAGTTCAACACTAGCATACAAACTGACACTTCATTTTTCAACCAAGCGACAAGCACAGACTGGACTGACTCACAACTCTACCAGAATATGATAGAAGAGAACCCAAATTACAACGAGGAGGAGCTAATTCAAATGGTCATAGAGCAAGAGCTGGAGAAAGAAGATGAATAGGTATAGGCTGGTGCTCGTACCACTCTTTTCTATCACTATAAGAAGTCAAGAAAGATATATTCATAGATTGAATGTGAGTATCATGCCAATATACTCAAGAAGAAATTGCATAGAAAAGATCACTTTGATGAGGAGCATCTGTATGATATATACTTCATAGCACTCAAGACTCTAGGAGCTTTGATGACACTCCTAATGCTGTATCCTCAGTGGAAAAAGATTGAGAGACTGTATGGCACAGATGAAAGTCAGATTACAGTGGAAAACTGTATAAAAGTTTTAGTTAGAGCCAAGAAGATGTATGAAGCTCGTACTATTATGATCAAGATTATAAAGCTTGTAATTGAGCGAGAGTCTCTAAAGAAAAAGCTTGGAAAAATGAGAATAGAATAACCATCAGAAGGAGATGGAGCAGTAACTAATTAAGAGGAGACTACCTAATCTCTACAAAAAGTAACTGGCAGGATTCTAAGTTAGATAGCTAATCTCTAAGAAGAACATAAAATATTCAAAAGACCTTTCATTATGAACGGCATGGACTATCTAGAAGAACTTAAGAAAGAATTCAATGAGTTGCAAAGTTAATTCAAAGCTAAATATTATTTGGAGTTCAATATCTAATCTGAAAATGAGACTTTTCAAGTCCAGGATGACTCCAATGAGTAACTCGCACCGTAGCAAATTGTTAAAGACTAAACTATAGTGAAATCAGAAGAAATTCAGCATGCATAGATAGAGGTTAATAACCCTGAGAATTAGAATTGATACCAATATAGAGAATAAATTTATATTTATAATTGAGCACTCATTAAAATCCAAATAAGATATTCATCCAGGGGTTTTGGGGTTTTGGGGTTTTGGG